AGCATTCTACTTCACTATTCATGCTACCAGGAGATGGCAAATCAATGCTGTACAAATCAGACAGCTTTGATATGTTTTCAGTGAAAGCCTCCTTGCTCATTTTTGTCATTGCAGATGGTACAAGGGATAACCCTAACAGTGCCGATTTATGGTGCTGAGTGAAGCGAGCAGTTAGTTGAGAAACAAGGTGGTCAACCAAAGGAATGGTAATAGTACGACAAAAATACTGAGAGAGTGTGTCAGCTGGAACATTGCTACGTTGAGTTTGACGCCTACATGTTCGAGGAATAGAAGGTATAGTACCTGTAACTTCACACATCTTCTCAACATTGTGGAACCATTCCGAATGATATCTGTCAATGTTGTCTCTGACATTCTTTACTGTCTGTATTACAGTATCAATCTCTTGGACAGCAGTTACAATATCAAGACATTCACCTTGAAGATTAACTGTCAGAGAGTGAAGGTATTGTAAGCAGGAACTAGTAACAACCAATGATGACAGAAAATCAGTTGTGCTTATAGCTAAGTGAAGACTTCTGGCATCTGCATGTGAGTGAATCTGATGACCATAATTGTGGACCTTCTGAGATGATGGTTTCCATGCATGAAACGGTAGACTTGTACAATGTACAAAAAGTGGAAAGAGAATCCAGACGTTGTACCCAACGAGTACGACACAAATCCTTTAATTTTTGGACAGATGAAGATGGCTGGGTCTCTGCTATGGCAAGTTCATATGCTCTCTGCCTCTTTGGATGTGAAGCAAAAAAAAGATAAACTCTCTCAACTATATTTATCATATTACTAACATTAGTGCTTTGAAGTGACTTAACAACTGCTAGGTTAAGGCAGTGTGAAGCACAATGGAGATAAAGGGCTAGTGGGTATTCCTCAGTAATTAAAGCAGCAGTTCCTTTAACAGAACCTGCCATGTTACCTGCTCCATCATACCCTTGCCCACGAAGAAAAGAAAGATTGAGATGAAAGTCCTTCAAAGTAGCTGTGATTTTGTCTGCTAAAGCACGCCCAGTAATTCCGGTGTCACATTCAAAGAATCCTACCAGGTCTTCATGTATTATGAGAGTCTCAGAATTGACATACCTCAGCACAATGCTTATTATCTCTTTGTTTGAAACATCAGTCACCTCATCAGCAATTACAGTAAACCATTTAGCTGCCTGGACATTGCAAATCACATTACTTCTCACTTGATCTGCCAGAATTTCAATCATTTGATTCTGTATTACTGATGATGTGTACGTGGCATGCCTGCTAGCACTAATGAGATGCTCTTCAAGAACTGTATCACCAGAATCAATTCTGAAATTGTGACCATATTTGACAAAAGGTACCTTATGGCGGGTAGTGAAATTTGTCTTTCTAGCCTAAGAAATCCAACTTCCTGAGCCCCATTTATCATAAAATTACTCCACAGGATGCAAAAAGTTACCATGAAACTTTTAGAAACAATGATTGTCTAACAAAGCACTCACATGCAGGTTGATATTTGCCATTATTAAGATCAATTTTAAAATCCGCCATAGAGCTGTTGCACGGATGTAATCAACGGGGTAGGCGGAGCTTCCTGTCGGCCATCTTGAGTGGCAAGAATGTACACGCAACGAATGGAGGAATGGAAACAAACTGCGATTTTTCATCAAAGAGATATCATACTTCGCTGCAGAATATTATAGAGACTTCTTTACTCAATATCTTCATTTCCTACCTTGCATTAGCCTGGAATGTCAACTGCAGAATTTATTTAATTTTTTTTCTCCATTCCCCCATTCATTCTTGGCCTTCTTGCCACCCAACATGGCGGACAATTTAGCTCAATTTTAGCCACACCCTCCCGTTGATTACTTCCGTGCAACAGCTCTATAAGGGCCCTTTTGTCAATTATGGTCACAATTAATAAGAGCCCAGAAATTGCCATGATTATGGGAGCCAGCAACATCTCTCTCTAGATCTGTCACATTATCACGATGACCACGTAAACTGAAGTTCTGTTGACCACAGAGAGCAATTACTTTAAAAATAGAAGAAAGCTTTCTTCTATTCAAGGCAATTTGATCAGCCCTCTGCTGGCTTAAGACAGTACTTATGGCTGGCTGTTGGTGTGACATGACCTTAACAAAACCTTCACATCTAATGAGTGACTCTTTATGATGAGACGTACAAGAATGCTTTCGTAGATCTCCAGT